TTGAATATTAAAATTTTCTGTTAATTTAATCTARTGTTTYCAAATACATATACTAAGCCAATCTAATAATACTAATAAATAAATATWAATATATAATRAAAWGATATWWWTTAAAATGTAAATAATTTAGTTGAATACATTTATTTTAWCATTGATAAAATAAAATTKAAAGWTTCAAATTTTTGTTTTATGTTGAATAATATATTCTGTTATATTATGTATATTATGTTAWATATTAATATTCATATASAKTATAATTACATGTATAATTTATAAAATTTATWATTTGTKAAATTMAAATATCAACAAATTCATTTAATTTAAAAGTGCATTGCTTGTTTGTTACAAAAATTTAATATAACAWTTTTAAAAATARCTTATATAWTGTATATAAACTATWACATATAAGTAATAKTTAAATTTTAAAATATTTGATYGTATAAWAAAMTATGTACARTATTRYTGAAAAAARCAGTTTATTTTYTTATATTTTATAGTAAACTAATAATTTATATAATATAAAATATACATTACAYGTTGTTTATCAAATATACAGTATTATAACTAAGTAGTYTAAGTTTTATAAATAAAATATTTTCYAAACTAAATTTAATATAMTAAAAAAATTTACTGATAAGAATATTTTATTTGTAYAAATAAATGTTTGAAAATCTATTTATTATAAGTTTAGCAAATATTTTGTTGTTTATAAAATGTACGTATTTATAATTTAATATATATTTTTAAAATTAAAGATTATATGAGATTTAAAAAACATTTATATAWAAAAGTATAAGTGCCAGTAGTTATAAATAGTGTTGGAAAAAAAGAAAAATTTATAAAATAATAGGAAAATTTCTAGAATGTTTCTAAAAGAAATTTCTAATTATGGAATCACCTTGTTAATTTTGTATTCTCGATATTTTTGTTAACTTGCTTTTACATTGYTTTTAYAAGTAATAATTAAATATAAGTAATATTAATTACAAAATTWATTTATTTRATTAAACTATGATATATATATATATATATACTGTATATATATATATTATATTAGAATGATACATAAATTTAACAAAACTGATTATTATTAAATAATTTTAATTATTTTATATATATATATCCCATTTTGTATAATTGTTACTATATATCATAGTATAATAYATATATATTATTATGTCTYATTAATATACAGTAGTATTACAATAGCTATAGATATKGGRATCCTATAGTATAATAATAYARTTAAATTTCTATAAAAATTTATTCCTAASAAATTTTCTAGAAACTTTCTATTTGCCCATTTCTAGTTATAAAACATATGGATTTGTTGGTTAATAACAATATAATAGGATTTTTATTTTTTAAACTATTTAACTAGCTAGTTTATAACAATAYMTTTTTATTTATTTCTATTTTTCGTATAATATGATATTTTATTAAATTTGTTTTGAAAAYAWAATAAAAACTAACAATTTTCTTAAACCAATTATTAAATTTKRTTTATCTTTGTTATATAAATCTAGTATCAAGTTCTGGAAAWTTTTMAATATTTYTTAAAATAATTGACAGAYTTTGATGCGRTTTGTTTCAATATAAAGGTTAACTCAACCGATTAATAAATCWATTAATATATATAATAACAASAAAAAKAGTAATTTATTTTATAAATGATWTTAACTAAAATATTTCAATTTYTAAATAATATTTTTTGAGGTAATTGGTATAGAAAGTGGTGACATTGCGTACGTAATTTTATWACAAAATWTTTAATTTTAMWWAAAATTGATAAATATTTTGTTAAATATATTAATTSATTTATAAATCWGKRTGAGTTAACGTTTATATTAAAAACAAATWGYATTAAAATCTGTCAATTATTTTAAGAGATATTAACATTTTTTTCATCAGAGTAYCARATAGTAAATTTGCTGGCTGTTTTTTATTATTATTTATTTAATATAATAAATAGTATAATGAGTTTATATAATATACTAGCAATATAAAATCATAAATCGCAAGTTTATTATACAATTAAGACAAAGTTTGTTTTTGTTGTTGATTTATTAGACTAAMTTTTTTGCCGTTATTTAAGTGCATTGTTAATCCAATTTATTTGCAAAATAAAAACAAAATTAAAAAAAATTATATATACTTTATGGAGTTTTACGTAGACAACTACCGGTAGTCTAAATAAATTTTTTTTWATAATAATAACATAAATTTATCACTACATATACTATCATAAATAGTAYTGTTTCASTWCTACTGTACTACTCTATACTATTATTTTGTGTAAACTAAGTTTARAAATATTTTTAAAATAAATATCATTTCWAATATACAATACTTTTAGTAAAATRATAAAATAATATTAGTAACTGATAAACTTTATAAAAAAAGTTATGATTTTCCAAAATTTACTTAATAAACATAAAAGTGGACTACAGATAACATTTGACATTTAACATTATGTTTTGCAWTTTATTACTAAAAATAGTAAATAAAAATACATTAAACATATATTYTATGCAATATTATAAATTCGTCAATTGTTAWGTTAATATTATATATATATATATAATATCATTATTGAAATATATATTTTTATTTACAATTTTTTTTAGAAAATATAAACAAATAACAAGCATTTTATAAGCAAATAAATACATTGTTATTATAGAAATATTTAACAAAGTAGTTTTAAATTATATAAAATTTATAAATATATATAAAATAAATACATAACAATTTAAATATATGATAATAAAAAAATAAAAYATATTTTATAAATTATCCTATTTTATGTAATTACTGTATTTAATAGACAATAAAYTATTAAATATTTTTATTTATTAWATYAATTTATTATTCAAAAATTAAAAATATGACTATAAAATAGTCACATAAACATTAAATAATTCYATAAACTTATATTATAATTAAAATTTAGTTATATTTAATATTTARTTTAATTTATAATWATTTTTTTGAAASAAAAACATTTTTATACATTTTTAATTAATACTCTTATAATAAAATAATAGCAATTCAAGCATTAGATGTACAGCCAAATAGTTTTTTGAATCGCCGTTTAAAGCTATCATTGAGCCAACAATAGATGAATGGGTTGTAACTGTATATAAAAAAATAAAATTAATTAATTAAGACTCTSAAAGAAAAAAGATTGAATGACATATAAAACTGTTTTGTATTATTATTATATTAATTATAAATGTCTAAAAAATAATAATATATTATAACAGCATTATTTCTAATAAAATAAATATTTWATTTAATTATTTTTCATATAAAAAATAATTATAATTAATTAATGTTSTTAAGAAATATAAAAATATATTATTTATAATACATTTTTCAAAAAAAATAATTTAAGTTATGTTATAYTATAACTTTGTATAAAAAAATACATTTTTAYATGTTATTTGAAATTTATCTATAATATTTAKMTATAGTATATTTAATATATTCTACATTAGTATATAAATATAATAGTAATATCTATTTGACGTTAATAACACTATAATATTTGTTTCAAAYRTTAAATTTAAACGTCAGTTATAAATCAGAAATTTTTTATAGTATTTAATTTTTTTATCTTATAAATATTTRAAAAYTTRTATTTTTCTTWYATAAAATAGTAAACTTACTATAAGTTACATAAATATTGCATTATTATAAAGTATTTTATGTTTATGTCATTAKCAATTTTATTTACTTATTTTTAAATCATTGTATCTGACATTTTACTAAAATATTTGTTTTSGCAATATTTAAGATGAATAATAACAATATGTTATGTATTATTAATGYTTTTTTATATTAAAGATCTATATAACACTAATATTACATTTCTATAGTAAACAGAAATATGAAACAAATGAWWTAAAAATTTTCTGATAAAAGTTAATACGTTATATAACACAAAATATTTACATTTTTTCTRCTAAAATAATTGCATACTTACAAAACTAAATCAATATTTGATACTTTTTTATGTCAAARGTTTTTTATGTAATTTATATTTACTTACTTTAGCTAATATTATTTTTGTATTACTATTATTATTAGTATTARTATTCATAAAGCATTTTACMATGAAGCCATTGAAACAACAACAATAATAATAATGCATCTCAAATGCATTATTTAAATATATATATATATATATAAATATATATATATATTATAATATTTTATATTATTTTTTACAAAAAATAAGTACTAATTTTTTCAAATAAATGTTTATTATTCTTAAAATTTTTGTTGAGCTATGAATATATCAATACTAATCWCAAAAATATACTATAATTTGTTATGTCAAAWAATAAATAAATATTTTTGAAAAAATAWTTCATAAGATYYKACTATATTATATTGATATTTTTTAAAAAATAAAGTTCAAAAATACAGTACTTGAACTAGATCAATCTACTTAAATATATGTTAAAAATTTCAAATTTTGAAATCTAAAAGTATAACTTATATAAATCTATTTATAACTTTTTAATTTAAGTGTATAATATATTTTGATARCATCACTTAAAAATATTTTTAAGTAAAAACACATAGAAATAACTTAGAAAATTGTATTAGTATTGTTATTAGAAAAATTAAATTTTAGTGCTTAAAAAAATTAAATTAATAAAAAAATTAACTTAATAGAATTTATTTATTTCTAACTTATKRTATATTAAATTAAATTTATTATTTTTATACTAAGGTATTAATATATAACTTTAKTAKAAAAATAATAAATTCAATTCAATTTTTGAGATATTRTATAATATTATAATTSAAATTAATATATYTTTTTACTTTTATAAAATAGACCAATTATTATACTTTAGATACTTTAATAATGTATTTTATATTAAACYGATAGTAATAAAAAAAGCTTTTATCTAAGTTTATTTTTATAAGAAAAATAATAAATATAATTAWTGAATCATTTATTTATAAAAAAWYTTTTATATAACTTACCAGACACTGGACATTGCAAACCAATGTGTTATGAAAAATAAATACGAGTTATAAGTGATGAGCTCGTAGTCGGTTAGCAAATGAAATATATTAAGCGGTAGCCAACACGTGGCAAATACCAGTACAACCATTATTAACATTTTAATCCTCTGTAGTTTACGTCTCATGTGATTATTTCGTTGATTTTCATTCAAATTGCCGACAGTTTTCTTGCGCCACAAAAAACAACTGATCCTYAAATAGCAGACACACGTCAATAGTATTGGTAATAGATATTGACTGAGAAACGATATCAATGTCAGCCTCTGGCGAAACTGTTGGTGTGGTTCCGGRTATTCAACCCGACAACGAACCAGTTGGCCAATGTCTGGATCACCGATAACTATGACACGATTGAAAATGCCGTGCGGTATGGAAAAGACAGCGGCCAATAGCCATATGATAAACAATATRCTGCCACACGATAACCATCGACAACAGCAACGATCGGCCAAATGTTGGTTATGTATAATACTTTTGTATCGTTCAACGGCTATAAACATCATWGTTATTGATGAACAGTGAACCGATACGGACTGTATGAACGGTACTAATAGACACAGTGTTTCACCGAATGGCCAGTTATCCAATACGAAACGGGCGATATTGAACGGTATGTTCAKTGWGGTCATCAACAGATCACTGACCGCCAAATTGGCTATCAATTGGTTGGTTGTGGTCAACGAGTTTTGTCGGCTTTTGCCAGACAAGACTTTACATACCATTAGATTACCGATCAGTGATATTATGACAATCAGTGTATAGGAACTAATTAACAATATATTTCTGGTTTGTTCGTCATCTTCATCGGTGGTCAATGTTTTCAAATTATTCAAAAATATATTCATTGTATAGTTATCGCCAATTGTCGATAGAAATTGATGATCCATTGTTTTGTTTGATGTTTATTTTAATKARAGATAATTAKTATTATTTTTTGSTAATAAAATTGTAATAATATTATTAGTATTAGTATTAGTTTTGATAATAAATTCTWAGTATTGCTTGTTATTATTATTATTATTATTGATATGAATAATATAATCTATTTTTTATAATACATGTAAAAATATCTTTAAAAAGATTAATTGTAATTTAAAAAATAAAAATAATTATTATGTAAATCTTTTTCCATGAATAATTTACAGAGAAATATATTTATTAAAAAAAATAACAATAAAAGTTTCACAATATTGTTAATATTATAATGATATTTTACGTGAGTAGTTTAGTAAGTTGAATAAAAATAAATTAAAGCTTCACAATATACGTGAGCTAATTTAATACATTATATATTGTATATAATGTATATATATAATAATAATAATAAAATAATTTATATTTGAATAAATCTCGTATWTTATTAGACAATCACAAAAGAAATTTTAATTTTATTATTATTAGTGTTAATGTTTTTTTTGTTATTGAGATTAATCTTAGAAAATTGAAACATCTAAATTTATTGCAGTKTATAATAAGTATATATATATATATATAATGATATATAATTTAATCCATAGTAACATACAAAAAAATTTCATTTAACAAAAATATTTACAATACATTATACACTTTAGTTCATATATAAAAAAAGATATCTTATTTTCAATTTATCAATAAAACATATAAACTTAAATTGACTGAAAATAATTTAAATGTATATTATATAAGCTTTCAATTCATAGCAACTTATTAGAGTAAATACGGATAAATAGTTGTTATAGTATCACATCTTTTATAGTATAAATAGTTTGTTGAAAGAGTGTGTGTTTTATATATACAGTAAAAAAGTAAAGATTTGAAGAGCACTGGTATACAAGTTCGGTGTCTATGAGTGAGTGTGTGTGTGTGATGTGTCGGTATGTGAGTGAGTGTATGTGTTGGGTATGAGTTTTCTGTACAAACATATGCGCAAATTGGATATTATTACCGTATTTTTATATACTGTATATACAAATTTTTAATGATATTACTTGTCATTAAATATACAAAAAYTACTTTAAATGTATGGTTGAATAAACCTTCGTCYAGACTATTAAACAATGATTAGTCAATTGAATTAGAATTAATTTTAACAACATTTATGTATTTTAATTATAAATCTTCAAAAAAAACCCACTTTTTGTCTAATTGTCTTAATTGTTAGAGAATGTAACAGATTTTTATTATTAGTCTTATTTTATTTATTATTATTTATAATTATATTATAAACCAGTTGAGAATGCTAGAAAGCATTTTCATATAAACTCCTTATTATCYAAATTTAATTATAATTTATTTTTATAAATTGCTGTATTAAATGAATCAGYATGACAAAATAAGATCAGCTTTATTTTTKATAGGCTTTATTTCAAATTACTTAAAAAAATTATTATGCTTACCATAAATTTTAACTTAAAAWAATTATTTCAATCTCCATTTTCCTGAAGATATARAAAAWTTTATGTTAATTCCCTGTATMTTATTTTTGATGTTTTATTCAARTATAAACTTTAAACTTTTTAACTCATTATTTTTTATGYAATTTGGCCGYCATTTTCTCTTTGTTTCTTAAGAGATATACTGATCCCTTATTTTTGATACTTAATTCAAATCTGAAATCAAAATTTTAAAAAAAAATCTGTGGACGTAATGACATATAGAATTCAGATACARACCTCTTTCAGGAGTTCGTAAAAAAATAATTTATTATATYTAACATTATATTAATTTTTACATTATTTTTAGGTTATTTGATTCAATGATAAATCTTAGATAATGTTTTACTCTCTTTATTATAATAATAATTTAACCCCAATTTCCTCATTGGTTTGTATTTTCTTRGATTGTATGCGACAGATGTTCAATGTATTTATTTTTATTACAAACAGTATTAATACAAAACTATAGATTTGTATTTAAAAAATATATTATTGATAAAAAATTAAGTATTCTTCACATTTATAGYAATTATAGTATATTTTAAAAAYTTTATAATTATAAATTATATTAAATTATAAATTCAGTATCAAATATTATATAAAATATCAAATTATAAATTGWTCAGAAAAAATTAAAAATAAATTAAAGTATAATATTAATGCTAAAAATAAATAAAAATAAATTTATAATTTTCGAATATATTTATTAAAATATAGTTATAGATACAGTATATTTGCATATAATTAATTATAGGCCTWAAAATTATRGTTTTGCTAATCCTATATAGATCTAACTAAAAGTAAGTTAATTATAAAATATTTATATTTCATATTGATTTAAGTAAATTTTAGTAAATTAATTAGTTTCATTAGACTTCAAATAAATCATGAATATTAATATAATTTATTAAAGTACAGTATAATATATATATATATAGAATATCACATTATATAGTACTTCTATATTATATTATTATATTGTAATATASTAGTAGTAGTGAGCAAAGATATACTGTATAATAATATATTTACATATTATTGATATATTATTACTGTAGAAAAACTACTTTTATCATTTAAATATAGAAATATGTTTTATTCATAAAACAATACAAGTGCTAATGATATACCACAAAAAGGATTTACTATATAATWCAATATGCTGTTTGTTTTTTATACAACAAAAATGATCATTATTTTATAATWATAATAGCTATAATATTTCAGTATAWATACAGTAATTATTGMTYTAAAAACTTTGTTAAAAAATWGTTTTTAATTGAATTAAATTTTATTCATAWTATWAATTTTATTAAMTATTKTAAYTAAATATWCATGTATTTGTATTAAAATTTATAAAAAATAGAAAATATATATATTAATATCACGTAAAATACTGTAYATAAATATAGTCACATTTTTCAATTTTATTATTAGTATTAAGTAATAAAACTTATATACTTAACGGCATTCATGTGTATTATAAACTAACATATAGTACARTATTTTTATCAAAAATATAATAATAATTTTTGTTATATGTAAATAATRTGTCAATAAAGTTGATACATTAYGTTCAAATTAATTCAAATATTACTGTACTATTACTTTATATTTTATCATCTATCAATAAWTTTTTTCTGTTATATTAAAATTTGATATTATTGTACATTTTTGTTTTATTAATAAAAATATTTATTATTATTTTTCATACAGTATTATTATTATTATCGACGTGTTATATAACTAAACATTTATTTATAGAATATTATATTAATACTAAATATTGATATTTTTCAGACATGTAATAAATATTTGCAAAAAAAAGAAATATTTAACTGAAATAAATTAATGTATTTTCTTTTTATTTGTTATTTGGATAACTTTATTAGTAAATGTAAATTAYCATWTGTAAGCATAAAACATGTTTMTAGATTAAATAATATTTTAACAAATTAATAGYGTTAWAATTTTAAAWATTTTTATAAAAATTATGAAATAGTATTTTAAAAACACAAAAATACTTATTGATTAATAATAAATGAAACAATTGAWAATAAGTGATATTAGGTTTACTTTATTATGRAATAACAAATTTAAAATTTAAATTTTTATAAATAAAAATTTTATATTTCGTAACTCTTAAATAAATAAAAATATTTAAAAGGTTCTTAAACTATAATAATATTAAAATAAATWAAATTATTTAAATTATATTTAAAATATATGAACATTAATTTAAAATTACATCAAATATGATARTTATAAATAAATTAAATTATAATAAAATGWTTAYTTCTCTTATTCATGAAATAATCAATGATATTATTTTCATAKAAAGTTTTAATAAAATCTGATTCTATATTAAAGATTATACAATAATCAGGGTTAAGCAAAGTTTTGATTTTATGGGGGTATAAAATGTAAAATATAAAAATGTCTAGACAAATTTTGATGGAGCGCATTTAGATAATATCTTATATATCTTGTGGTGGTTAAAATGACGTAATTTTTTGAATGACTACATGCGAACAATTGCGAACATAGGGGAGGGAGGGGGTCTAGATTTTTAAAAAGAGCGAACGTCATAACAAATTTTTATGTATTGAATTAAAATGAAAATCATAAAATAAATAATTGAAATAAAATTTATGATAAGGAAAACAGTACTGAATTTRTAAAAAATGTTAATGTATTTATAATTATAAATAAAATAATCAATTTTGTAAAAAAAACTGTTATTAAACATTTTTATTATAAAAATRTAGTTTTTGTAATTTAAGCGATTAAATTAATAATGTTTTTATAATATTACATTTTTAATAAATTATATTTTGTAATTTTTCAAAGTTGTTTTTTTAATATTTTGTATTTAAAAWGTTTYGTAATGTACTTACAAGTAAATATTGTATAAATGTAATTTAAAATTATTTTTTCTTACTATTAAATAACATTAAAAGTTAGAGTTTTTAATATGATTTAAATTTAATTTTTAATATATACTATTTATAAAAACTTCTATAATATCTATAATATAACTGAAATTCAATTTATTTAAGTAATAAACTAGACTTAAAATTTATTAATCTTATTATTTAATTTAAAAATATTGCCAAAATATGTAWAAATCATGAATTTATTTAATGTAATTGAATATAAATATTTWAAAAAAAACTGTTAAATAAAACAAACATTTTGTTGTAAATAAATTTATAAAAGTTTAATATCAAGTCTTAAAAATAAAGTGCATTTTATTGTGTAATAAAATTCTAGTATATTGTAATTGATTGGCATAAGTGATAAAACACATGACAATAATACTAATCAATATATAATAAGTGATGGTATTTAGTGAACAAAACATTAAATTGTTTTTTACAGAAACCAATTGACGGATTCATATATATTATATAACAACAATACTGTAATAAAAGATACGATAAATATTTGATTAAACTATTTTTGTTGTT